TGCTTATCCCTCTTGAGGTACACTACTCGCAGCACGCGAAGAGAAGGAGACGAGGAACTCACGTGTGCTCGACAATCTGCGTAACAATCCGGCACTTGCTGGCATATTCCAAAACGAGGCGCTGGTGGAGAGGCTCAGCCGACCATCCGTGCTCAGCGCCGCACAACGATCCGGAAGCGGCGCCCGTGGCAACCCAATCACCACGTACCCGAGACTTGCAGCCGCCAAAAACCGGCGCAAAACATCACGCCTCAAGCCAATTGACTATAAAGTGAAGCAGGTTAGTCCGTACACTGTTATGACCCGTACATTTGCGCAATGCATATCACTGATGCCATCTCGCTGCTTATAATCGTGGTATTTTCTTGTTGAAACCAAAAAAGTGTAGGTCAGCAAGCAGTAAAGACAAGCGATGTTGAAGATTGTGGAAGAGCGGCCGATTCCTCCACCGCTGTTCATCCCGAAAGGACGGCACACACGTATCCGACTGACTGGCGCTACCGAGAAGGAAATCCCGGGCATCGGAGGACGCTTCGTGATACCTTCGCTCGATCCGACACTGCCAGCGCTCAATAGTGCGGTACACACGCAAGGCAAACAAAGGTTACTCTAACTACAATTTTCAGCAACAAAACCGCACGAAAACAAACGTGGCAAATGCGAGTTGTCGCGGTGACCAACATTGCTCCCTTATTCCCCTCCTTGTGTTCCCGCTTTCCTCTGTCCATCCGCCTTAAGCCAGATTTCTGTTAACAGCATGAATTGAACAACTGTTTTTTTTTTCCTTCACCGTGTTCCCCTCGTTAAATTCCGAAAAGCGGGAGAGTACTAAGCATGACAAAGGCTAAACTATCTTTTTATTTTTCCCTCGAACATTAGAATCGCCGATGTGTAGGAAAAATGGAAGTAAAAAAGACGAATAGAGAAGTAGGGTAGTGGAATTAGTTAACAGTGTGTAGAAGTTAGCCAACTAAATGCAGTATCTCGAATAAGTGTCAAATTTCATCAAATGCGCAAAAGCACATGATCAGATAAGTACTAAAATTATCTTGCGAGAGCTGAACTACCACAAAAAGCAAATTAATAGATCTTGAGCTGATAAATTTATTGCTAGAAACACCATATTCAAGCAGATTAGGTCCACACTCCTACAGTGGGT